AAATCTATTGCTCAGAGATTGTGGAAGAAAAGAAGGAAGGAAAGACAGAAGAGAGGAAGGAAGCGGGAGGAAGGGAGGAAAGACTGACGGAGGGGAAGCAGGCTGGCCTCTGGCAGGGGTTCCACAGAAGTGAGCTAAAAAGCCACCGTAGATAGCTAACCGCTGCCTAGCTTACAGTTGTTCCTATTGCTTTCCTTATTTAGCGCTTCTTGTGTCCCTCCACATAACTGTCAGGCTTTTCTCCTTTGGATCTATTCTAAGACACTAAGAAATGAGACTCTTCACACTTCATTTCTCTTCCGTCAGAGGAGAGGCTGATGTTATGTGCCGATGCTCGTCACCACTACCCAGTGACAAACACACCAGCTCTGCCCCGGCTGTACTTTTCCCCTTGATGCAGGCAGTGAGGGATTATTAAATGGCATTTCATTATGACCTGCTGGCTAGATGTTAGTCATGGCATATTTTAGAGTAAGCCTGAAGGGAGTTGAGATAACAATGTCACTCCAAAGTCAAGGAAGCCATTGCACAAACATGAACAACCCCCAATCTCCTTTGCAGCTACCGACGCGCCCTGCTCTGGACAGCGCCAACTCGCTTTTTGCTCCTGGTTTGGTAATTTTTGAAACCTAAAACATAATTATATGGTATTAATTTCCAGGGCTGTTGTCTTTGAGGAAGGATTGATTACCTGGCTGGATATAGAGGGATCTTTTTAGTCTAGACTTTGTTTCTGACTCATTGTAATAACCTGGGCAGATCTTTTACTCTCTTGTCTTTCCTCTCATCATCAGTTAGTTTGGAAGCCTTCTTGTCCAGTCATTGCTTTCTCATTCCCAGTGTCCCCAAGCCTTAACAGATGATGTCATTCAACAGTCCTTGATATAGAATCAAAATGCTGTTCTCTTTGGGCAGTTCCTAACTATCTTCTGTTTCTGCTTTATAACTTCAACTTTCCCCTTTCCTCAATCTTCTCGATTCCACTCTCTACACTCATCTTCTCGCTCTGTGCAGCTAAGCCACTATCCATTAAGGCACATAATTTTTAATGGAATCCATTGCTAGCTAGTCTTTTGAAATGCAGTTCTGTAATTATATTTTAACTTAGTTCTCTTTTTTTCTGACTATGGTTTTTAAAGTCTGTTAATGTTCGAATAGGAAGCCATTCATTTTATTTTAATAATAATATGAAAAAACATATGCTATGCCTACACTCTTATAAAAGCATCATTAGAAGGAAAGCCCTGGTGATAAAGACATAATATGATTGGTATAATTTAATAATAGCTACCATTTAAGACAGTGGTTCTCAACCTTCCTAATGTCATGACCCTTTAATACAGTTCCTCATGTTGTGGTGATCCCCAACCATAAAATTATTTTTGTTGGTACTTCATAACTGTAATTTTGCTACTGTTATGAATTGCCATCAGAAATGTGTGTTTTCCGATGGTCTTAGGCGACCCCTGTGAAAGGGTCGTTTGACCCCCCAAGGGGGCCGCGACCCACAGGTTGGGAACTGCTGATTTAAGGCTATCTTCTATGCAGGACATGTAATATTTAATTCCCAGTGAGAAAAATAATTTTATAGGTGAGAAAACTTATGATCAAAGAGGACACTAAACCAGGGCACTTTTATTTTATTTTTTTACTCTTTTAAAGAGACCCATTATTTTGTGAATCTAGCCTCCCTTCTTCTGGAAATTGCTTCTCTTTTCTCCATCCATATGGCTGACATGGGAACAATCATGTTATCAGGATTCTATCCCCTGGCCTTGGAACCTTTACTCACAAAGTTTTGTGGACTTTGGGTTGTGAGAACATTGGCTCAGGGTATTTTTATTAGTCAAGTGGTAACATAAAGCTTAGGAATTGTTGGTGGCAGACTTACAGCCATAGAGACTGCAGTTGTGGGGTGAAGGCGGCCTGAGACAGGGGGACTGGGAAGTAGGATTCAGGCCCCTGCTTCCTGTTTTCTATCCACGTATTCCTGAAGATGTCCCTGTGTCCTGATAAATAATTCCCCTTTTTCCTTCAAATCTACTATCAGTCACTTGCAACCCCTAAAGGCCCAATGCTGGTTGTCTTAACCATAGCAAAAGAAGATAAGGAATTTGGGTTGAAAATCACTGACATCTGAGGGTTCAGTTAAAAGGCTGGTTTATATTGGTTCCCCAAGTGTATTTAGTTTCTTCCTTCTTGATCTCAAACTCATGTTAAAAATAAATTATATCTATTAAAAATGGTTGCATTAAAAAATAGTCAAATTCATTGAAAGAGCAAGTCTTCTTGAAAACAACTGAACATTAGTTGTTGTTGGCTAACTACAATGAGTTTTATTCAATTATCTTTCTTTCTTTCTTTTTTTATTTTTGGTACGTGCCCCTAGCAGGAACCGAACCCGGAACTCTCTGGTCTGCAGGCTGATGCTCCAACCACTGAGCCAAACTGGCCAGGGCTTTATTTATTTCTTAAGGAACTCAATCATAGGTCCCATTCCCCAACATTTCAACGTATCAGGCAGGAAATGGAAAAGGAAAGTTTTCTAAAGCATGAGTTGGCAGTGTTCTCTTTTGAAATGATTATGAAAGAAAACATTTACTACACAGATAGAGAGTACTTGACGGGGTCTTGGCCCCAACCCCAAAATAGAAAGAGATTTGGGATTATGTAATTCCAGTTGCTGCTTCTGACACCTCCGTCCATACACTTACACTTGGCTGTCAGTCACATCACAGGTCATGTGGGTGACCACTAAGTCCCTCTGTGTGCTGCTTAGACACTCTCCGTCTGTGCCTCTTCTGTCACAGTCCAATTTAAAAAGCTGCTCCCCTCCTGTGTTCATGGGTTTATATGGATCTATATTGTGTGACCTCCTCCACCTTCAGGTCTCACACAGGTAAAAATTTGTTCTGGGCTTTATAAAAGAAAAAATGTCTTCATCTTATCCGACAGAAAGAATGTCTTAACCCTGCCTAACAATAGTTTAAGACCTAAAAGACAAAAAAAACCACACAAAAAAACAAGAAACAAACCACTGATCTGGGACTGGATTAAAGCAGGATTGGAGAGGTTGTCTCAAAAATACGAGGAGAAACTAAAAGGTGTGCAGGGAATGGAGGTGAACATCCAGGTCATTCCAACAGCAGACTGAGGACTGAGTTTACCAACAATGTATTTCAAAATAACCAGTCAATTTGATTTAAGAAAAAAAAAAATCTGTCAAATACTAAGCTAGTTGTTTGAATGACTAAATCAGTAGACAAAAACAATTTATCTTTAGTCCTCAGATATAAACCTACTTATTATCCAGAAACTTTTCCTTCTGCCTAATCTAAATTATTCTTCAATTGTTCTCACCCATTTTTAATATCTTTGCTCATAGAGAATGGCTACCTGGCTTGTTTTCGTCTTCCAATTCTATTTGCTTAGTTTCTCCCATCGGTTCTATTTTTCATCCTTTAGTTACTCTTCAAAACCAACCAACCAACCAAACAAACAAACAAAAAAACAGATAAAAGCCACAATGCAGTTTCCGCCGGCTTAGAAGATATTTGCCAAGCTAGCGAAAATTACACATTAATTTCCCCACATAGGGTTTGGTGGGAATAAAGTACATCTGTTGCTATGATTTGTATGGGTTGTTGGTATGTGGGGTGAGTGTGCCTGAGCCTCCCTTTGGGCAGAAACTGGTGAGAGACAGACCGAAGCTGACCTGGCATGTTGGGGTTAAACCAGTTATTTTTCTTCTCTTTTATTCCTCTCAGGTTTCTTTATACCCTCTCTAAAATTTAGACATCTATACAACCCCAAGATGGGGAGAAAGACATGGTGGCCTGTGTTCATGACCTTCCGTCTCATGCTGTCTGTGGGCTAAGGACTGTTTACAAAGTTGGGCTATGGTAGGAAGGCCTCCTGTTTAAATAACTAAAGGGCAGCTCCTTCAGAGCTCAGAATTGTCTTAAATATGAAAATACCAAGTTCTGACACCACTGGGTAAATTGCTGCTTAATTTTGAGTGTTTATAAACTAAAAATAGAACAATTTCCTTGAGTTAAAACCCTGTTTATGGCCTCATTATTTGTAATAATTTGCATAACAATGACAGCTATGGTGATACTGAGTTTTCTGTCAGGCAGTGGTAAAACAACATGAAGTTTTTAGGATTTTTAGTTACCTTGCTTAGCACATACACTGAAAAGGGGTGGGAAAGCCCAGTGTAGACTGTCCTCACACTTCCCACAGTTTTGGATGTAAAGGAGAACCAATTCTCTTTGTATCTAATTAACAAATAAGCTTATTTATGATTTATTTCTGGATCTCTAAGTCATCTGTTTAGCCCTGTAAATGGGCTAATGAACACTTGTAATTAAGCTCTGGGTAGTTCTTCCTACATGAGGATTAAAGTAATTCAGGTATTTGAAGGTGTGAAATGGAATGACTTCATCTCTCAGTGGTTCAGAGGGATGCTGTGGTCATGGATGCCGTTAGCTGGCCCAGGAACGTGTCTGTCATGCATACGTTCAAGCTAAGTAATAGAGTTCAGCTAGAATCCAGAAGCGCACAGATGCCAGAGTTAGCTTTCCATCAAGAAAATGCTTATAAGAAACTGGACCAGGATAAAGCAAAGACTAAAGGACAGAAAGAAAGCTTGAATTACATTATTGCAATATTCCGCCAAGTCAGATTTCAGCTTCTGTTCAGTTTCTCTTTGGAGATGAAAATGCTTCAAGTTTCTTCCTGAGAGGAATGAGCATGAGTCTGTCCAAGGTTATGCGACAAGGCTGCACGATGAGGTTATTATGTGTTTGGGTATTTTATGCATGAGTGTAACCTTGTCACTTGGCTTTGCAAAACCCCAAATCCCCTGAATATCCACAGGAGAGGATAATTCAGCATTTACCAGGCCAAGGAAAATGCCCTCCCTTATTCTTTTCCCTGCCTCATTGTGTCTCCCACACTTTGGTTCAGTAAGTGGTAAGAGCCTGAAATCATTTTTAGTGAATAATGCTAGATCACTCCAAAAATTTGGGACGAAAGCTGGACCCTCGTCATCACCACGCACTGTGTCACTGAGACAGAGTAACCCATGGTTACTGAGCTCAGATCAGTTAAGGAGCAGACCGCCTTCTCTCCTCACTGCTCTATAAAAGAGACCCAGCCAAGGGACCCTACCAGCTCCCAGCTCTGAGCTGGACAAGGTATGCAAGCAAAGCCCCAGACCTTCCGAGTGGAGCACACCAGCTGCAGGGGCAAGGCCAGCATGTCTCCTTCCTTCAAACTTCAATGTCACCTCATCCTGATCTTCCTGGTGGCTCTAAGAGGGGAGAGCCGATACCTAGAGGTGAGGGATCCCCGGACTGACCCATCACACCTCCTGTGCGTGAGTGTCCAGCCTTGGGGGACCAGCAAGCTGCCTGAACTCTTGTGTTGGGGTTAGCTCTTTCTTCCCTATTTTTTGTGCCGGTCTTTCGCAGAGGGGTCTTTCTTCCTACCTCTTCCTCCTTCCCTCTGGCCCCTGAGGATTCCCTGGTTTGATGGAAAGGATCCTGTTACTTTATTCTCTTTGCTGTAAGGCAGGGAGGGTGCCCTGCTCCTGGTCCCCTTTCCCACCCTTTGAACTTTTCCCAACTGACCCATTTTCCTTGCCAGCTGCGGGAAAAGGGGGACCCCGACCCTTTCCTGCTCTTCAGCGCCAATCTGAAGCGGGAGCTGGCGGGGGAGCAGCTATACCACCGCGCGCTGCGTAAGTTGGGGCTGCCCGGCTGGGTTCACCGGCAGCGGGGATGTGTGGATGTTTGGGCTCTGCGCCCAAAGCAGGAGGCTCCCGGGCATCGCTGAGAAGGGGCTACCCTGGACGGCCCGGGCATGCTTCCCATCGCTGAGGGTCAGTCCCACAAGGAGCGCAGGGGGAGAAGGGGTGCGGCGCCCTGGGGCATGGGAGCTGCGCAGCCGAGGCTGGGAGTGCGGCTGGGAGTCGGGCACCCCGCGCTGCAAACCCAGAAATAGGGGCGCCGAGAGGGCAGCCCCGGGCGGGCGCTGCGGTGGCTGCAGCCGGAGACGCCTGGCCCCGCTGCACCGCCCTCCCTCAGGGTGCCTGGACATGCTGAGCCTCCAGGGCCAGTTCACCTTCACCGCGGACCAGCCGCAGCTGCACTGCGCTGCCTTCTTCATCAGCGAGCCCGAGGAGTTCATCACCATTTACTACGACCTGGTCTCCATCGACTGTCAGGGCGGGGATTTCCTGAAGGTGAGGTGTCCCCACCGAGCAGCCCCACCAAGTGCGGGGGACTGGGCGGGGTGCTGCGCCCAGCGCGGGGAAGCAAGCTTGGGGAGCCGGTGAAACTCTTGATTAGACGCTCGGCTGGTGCCCCGGTGGCAGAGGCATGCTCCGTGACCCCCATGCGACAGGAACTTCCCCTCTACCTCAAGACCTGGCCCCACGCCAGGAAGGGCCGGTGCACGGGACGTGGTGGTTTTTAATGCCCCTGTGCGCTCTCGGGGGGTACGCGGCTGCAGACGTGGTCTGGGGCAGATGGAAATAGATAAACTAGCTCAAGTGCTCAAGTCCACCAAGCGGGCGGGTGCTGGTGGAAGGCCGGTCCCACCAGTCAGATCTGAGCCTGCTCTGCTCCTGCCGGTCCCTCTCTCTGGAGATATTCCAGGCTCTTAAAGGTTGTCTTCAGCGCCTGGGTGACCCGATTTTGGAGCCGTGGGGCGCAGGCTGTTGGGAGGGATGCTAAGAGGGAATCTCATCTGAGGCACAACCTCCGCTCTCCCAGTCTTTGTAAGTCAAACCGGTCAGCTGGCCACGGCTGATGGGGTCCAGCAGTCCAATGAAAAAGATCATGATTAAAACCTGCACGGTGGAATTATTTTTGAACCGGTGCCTCGGTTCAAAATGCTTTAGAAGAGGACTAGTCTGGTGAAGTAATTTGCATGCAGCTGGTGCTGCTAATGTGAACTAGGTTGGACTCATTAAAAAGGAGACCTGTGGCGATGTTAAGAGTAAAGTCAATAGACTCTGACCTTTTGTTCAACTGCAAACCCTAACAAGTAAAACGGGGGAAAGTCTTAAGCAATACATCAGCCATTGTCGTCCCAGTGTTGAAGCAGTTCTCGGTATTTTAATAGCTGATAAGAGTAAAAAATGGGGGTGGGGGAGTGGGCACATATAACCATTGGCAGGTAGGGCACGTTGCAGCTTCAGTTCTTTCTTTTTCTTCTGTAGAAGTCTTCTGAAATTGAGATTTGTGGCAAATATGACCAGAATAAAAATATATACTGTCTGTAGTTTGATTTATGAAGATGGTTGAAGTATAATAAAGTTTACTTATTTTGGAAACTTTAAGGTTTATAAAGAAAAAAACAATAATTAATTAATAATACTACTTGCAAATAACCCTCACAATCAAAGTATATTCAAATGGAAAGCAAGTGGGCAGAGGAGTGCAGGCTGTCAGTTCCACACCTGGGACTTAAGGAGTTGATGGAAGTGATCACTTACGTCTGTATTTTTGTTGGAAGGTATTTGATGGTTGGATTCTCAAGGGGGAGAAGTTCCCCAGTTCCCAGGACCATCCTCTGCCCACGACTGAGCGATACATAGATTTCTGTGAGAGTGGTCTTAGCAGAAGGAGCATCAGATCCTCCCAGAATGTGGCCATGATCTTCTTCCGGGTCCATGAACCAGGAAATGGATTCACCTTAACCATCAGGAGAGATCCTAACCTCTTCCGTAAGTGGGCTCTCTGTCTTCCCCAGTGGGAAGCACAGGGGAGTTGTGTGTGTGTCAAATCTGCACAGACTTAAGAAATTTGAAGTGAGGAATGATTTAAATGGAAATTCTTTTATAATTAGAAATGGCCAAAAAGAATATTTTCTATGTATTATTATAAGAATCAAATCACAGTTTTTAATTTATTTCCCAGTCTAAATAGGATACTATTTTATGATGAATAGAATTCTATTTTTTTCCTTAATGTCTTATTCTAATCTCCTACAGTACAATTCATTCAGTGACAAACTCTAATCCCTCCAAGTCATTCCACTCATCTGGGATAAGCTTGAGGGCTCAGATACGAAACTGCAGTTTTAGATACGTAGGCAAAGGCTGAAAGACTGCATATCTAGCATGTGCCGGATGGATTTCATGCCTGGGCAGAAGCCTGGGTCAGGACCCCAAAGTTGCCTTCTGATTCAGAGCCCTTACTGTAATTTAGCTCATTGCTGATAGATATGCATATAGATGCTAAAAAGATGAACAGCCCAGGCCTGAAATATATTATCTTAATCAAAATTTTACTCATCTGCTTATTTTTTCTCCATTAAAAGAAAAAAATTAACTGGATGAAAGAAGGTGAAGGGACTAGCCGAATAATATATATGCATAACCCATAGATACAGATAACAGTGTGATAATGGGCAGGGGCTGGGTAGAGGTGGGTAAAAGGGGGAAAATGGGGACATCCATAATCGTGTCAACAATAAAAATTAAAAAAATTCAAGTAAAGAAAACTTATCAGTCATTTTTGGTTACATACAATAGTATTAATAGTAACACTTCACGTGGTCAAAGAATGGGGCCTAATCTGCCCAAGATTAATGTCCTGACTGATCTTTTGATTTTTGCGTTGTTGTTTTGTTTGTTTGTTTCTTTTTAATTTTTGAAAGAAGCCCCCAAAGGAACCTGTTTCTGAGGACTGGAGCAGAATATCCTAGAAAAAAAAAAAAAAAAAGAAAGAAATGCTTCTCCTCTATTTTGTTTGGTTATAGATCAGAAACCTTCCAGAATCATCAAGGAATTTCAGTTCTGTTTTGAAATTAAGGGGAATTAAAAATGTGGAAGGAGGCAAGAGGTAGTTCTGGCCTTTTCTGATCAACCAGAAACTTTTGTTTAAAAAAAAGGTACAGACCCTGATGCTTCTAGTTTCATCACCAGAAGGATAAATCTATAAGTCTATACTTGAGATACAAAACAAAAAATTTTAGAAATTCTTGGGAGTATATTAAACATTAAAATTTATCTTTTAGTCAACTTACCACTTAATGACCAGCAAATATTTATTCAGATGTAAGTCTGATTTCTTTCTATTTTTTTTCCTCAGGCTATTTTGTAACTGTTTCATTGTTTATTTATTTTATTATTTAAAAAATAACATATGGCCAAGTTCAATGAATGAAGGATTCAGACAGATAGAGTTTGAGTTCTAGCCTCAGCTTTAAAGCCTTGATTCTTCCAGACTCCTAGCTTGAACTTGTACCCTAGTTAACTGAGGTGTTCCTAAAACTTCTACCAGCTGCTATTGTTAGGTTGGTTATGAATTTATGGTCTTGTGATTACTATAAACAAGACAACCACCTGGGATGAAGACCAGAAGCCCCCTGGTAGCCCAGAGCCTCCTGACAATGTGCATATATCAATCGTGATTTTCATTCCCCAACTCTCCCACCTCCAGACTGCCTTGGTGAGATGTACTCTCTTCTGAGCCACAGGGCCCTAGACCGTGAATAGGAGCCTAAAACAAGGATAGGGTAAATGTCCATAAAAGCCAGGATACCAAGTAGTGAAAATGCAATTAAAAAATTTTTTTTTCCTACGAAGCCTGCAATGTCATTTCCCAGACCCCCAATGGAAAGTTCACCTTGGTAGTTCCACATCAGCATCGAAACTGCAGCTTCTCCATAATTTATCCTGTGGTGATCAAAATATCTGATCTCACCCTGGGACACTTGAATGGCCTGCAGTTAAAGGTGAGTGCTTACTTGCTTTCAAATCGTTGACTAAAGCCACACCTTTATCAGAGCCAAAGTAACCATACAGGGCAAACACAGACGTTAGCGAACTGGAGTGGTATGTCCTGTTTGACTGGCGTCTCACATGCCCTGGCTGCTTTAACTAAACCCCCTTCTATTTCCGTACGCTGCCAGTTGCATACTCAGGTGTCCCCTGCGCCTACTTAAATACTTTTCTTGTGACGCAGGAGATGTTTTCAATTGGTAAATGTGTGGTGTATAATTACAATTGAACTCTCTTGTACTTGCCTCCTTTTAAAAAATTCTCTCCCAGCAGAACCTAGTGTGAGTCATCTACACAGCTGTTTTCCTGATTATTGGAGTTTTCTTTTGACATGAAGGAAGTATCTCATTGAGTGTGTTATGAAGAAATGCTAAGTGTAGCATAAAATATGAAATTGGATTCTTCTGTTGAAAAATACAGTAAAGTTTTGAAGAGTTTTTTTTTTTTTTCATTACATTTAATTCATACATTCTGCAACAAATATTAGCTGAGATTCTCCATCAGCTTGTTTTCTCATGAACTTCTGTATGGATCTTAAAATTAATGCTGAGCTTGCATTAATTTACTTACTCTGTAGCTCCTTCCTCTGCTTCATCCTCATTTCCTTTCACTGTCTCGTGTGCTGAGGTTAAGATAGCTCACGTATTTGCTGGCATCAAGGACAGTCATAGTTCATAATGAAACAGATTTTAGGGAAAGCAAAATAGGACCAGGACTAATAAAAGGAGTATATCTAATTTCCTTTAAGCCCTAAATTTGTGTGCCAGTGCTTTTTTGCTTGTTGTTTTGGTTTTTGTTGTTGGTAGTGGTGGTGTTTTTTTTTCTTTTTTTTTGGACCTTAGTGGAAGAATATTTCTTTGATAAAGACGGGAATGAGTGGGTGTCTCTCGCATAGCCCTATTGGCTTGGGTTTGTTTGTATGAGATTCCTGATACACAGGCAGTGTGATAACAGATTGGGAGATATGCACTTTAGTTATTCTTGGCTATGAGGAGTAATCTTGGTGTTTCCCCTTTAAAAAATGTAAAGTCTGCCTTCTTCTAGGCATCTTTTTCTATGCAAATTATTTTTTGGAGTGCTTGCCATATGCAAGGCACCGTTCTAGATGCTGGAAATTAGCAATGAATTAAACAGATCTTGCTCCCTTGAAACCTGCATTCTAATGGCACGAGCCAGGAGAAAGTGTAATGTATTTCAGCCAGTGGTGAGTGGCCTACAGAAAATGAAGCAGAGTGCTGTGATAGACAGTGTCCGGGGACAAGGGAGCAGGAGGGCCGGGAGCGCCTTCAGATGAGGTGGTCAGGAAAGAAACCTGAGGAGAGTTGTTTTTTCTTTTCTTTTGTTATCTTTGTTGTTGAAAATATTACAGATGTCCCCACCTTTCCCCCCCTAACCCTTCACCCTGCCCCCCCCCCGAAGGAGACATTTAAAGTGAGACTTTAGGCCCAGCCCGTGTGCCTCAGTGGACTGAGTGTCATCCATGGACTGAGAATTCCTGGTTCCATTCCCAGTCAGGGCACATGCCTGGGCTGCATGCTCGATCCCCAGTAGGGGGTGTGCAGGAGACAGCCAATCAATATTGCTATCTCACATCAATGCTTCTATCTCTCCCTTCCTCTCTCTATAAAATTCAATAAAACCATATATAGATATATGATATGTAACCACCTGCTTTCATTCATTAGCCCAACAGCTGCTGTTATATTTTCTAATTTGTTGTTTAGTTCCAGTTGCATTTCAGTGTCTTCGAACTATTTAAATGTGTATCGTTATGTGTGTGTGTTTAACGATCTAATTTAGATCTGGGTCCCTATGTGTCAGGGTTTATCTGGTTAACTTCCGAGCACACTCCACTAGGTCTCTTGATGAGTATGCCTTAGTTAAGAAGAGGACCACAGGCAAAACCAGCTACATCATTTGTAGGGAACAGTACAAAGTAAAAATGCAGGGCCCTTACTTAAAAATTATGAAGAGTTTCAAGATGGTGACAGAAGAGCATTTAACCAAGCAGGGGGCCCTTGTGAACATGGGCCCTGTGTGGCATCGTAGGCAGCATGCACACGAGGCCAGTCTTGATCAAAGGAGATGGGCGGTCCATGTTTGGGGCTTCTTCGTGTGAAAACGTGAAGCATGGGAATTGCTGTGGATGAGACAGTGTGGAAAGGATGAAGGGCAGCGAAAAAAGGTGGTTACAGCGGGTCACACAAAGCCTTAGACTAGAGTCTTATTTTGAGTAGCTTGAAATAAATTTGTTATAATTGGAAGAAGAGACAATGGTAACTCTAGGTAACTTGAAACCCAAGTTAGGATTCTCATCTTTCTTTAATATTCTTATAACTAATCTAAATCCTTATCAGTTGAAATGATGGGGATTGTCCCAATAGCAGAAAAAGTCCTTTATACAGCAGAGGAAAAGAGGTGAATTGAAGGAAAAACTAATATGAAAGCCCTTTTTATAAAAACTCTCTGACTGCATACACTAATTCAAATACTTCAGCTTGTATGTGCAAATGGCTTAAAAAGCAAAGCATTTTTAGATTTCATTTTCTATACATCTTATATGGAGTTTACAGATTCCCATTTCATTATTCTAGTACTTGAGCTTATTTTAAAAATGCACACACAGTTTTAAAAAATGATTGCTCAAGTGATTTAGAAAAGGAATTCTTATAGTTTTTGTTTCTTTTAAATGTCTTTTATTTAAAAAGACATATTGGAGTCCTGGATGTTGAATTAAATGGCACTGTCAGGATGTCTAGGGCTGATTGAGTGAATTTACCAACTTGCCACTGGTCAAATGGTTTGACTTCCATAGTGGGTTTAAACATGTCTTTCCCTGTCTCTGTTCTCTCAGAAACCCTCAGCAGGTTGTGGGGGGAAAGGAGACTTTGTGGAGCTGCTGGGAGGAACTGGATTGGACCCTTCCAAGATGATGCCTTTAGCTGACCTCTGCTATCCCTTTCAGGGCCCTGGTGAGATGTTTCTTTGATCATTATTTATGTGCCTAGCAGGACTATTTCCTTATGTAAAACACCTCAAATTGTTTATACATGGGAAGGCACTTCCCACCAAAAGACTTCAATTTTGCACTTTGAGCCAGTGTGAGGATTTTGCACTTAAGACTATACACACCATCAAGAATGCATTCTCCAGACATCTGACACTGGGAGAGAAACCTGTGGAGTAACAAGGATGGGTGTTTAAGGTTGGCCCTAAGTAAAACTGGGAAGGAATCGAAGATTATCTTTCAAGAGACAAAAGTAAAACAGGAGAGCAACAACAATAGTCTTTAATCTCATGGCAAGATCTTATCACAGCCCCCTTCTTCTCTTGTAACCACAGATCAGAACCAGCTAGGTATAAAGCTGCAAATCGGACATCCTTTGATCAGCCCAGGTCTGCCCACTAGTATTTTCTCTCTCTGAGCTAATATTAGGACCGTAATAAACAAAACATCTCTGAAACAGAAATAATATGCACAGTAAACGCTGAGGCCCAGCATGTGGTATTCCAGCCCCCACACCAGCCACGCTGGTATAAAAGAGCTTCAGATGAGATGTAAGGCAGGACTGGGTTGAGGGCAAGCTTTCTAATCAAGGTAAAGGCAAGAAGTTTCTAAGAACTCACTTTGCTGAAAACATGGGGATTATTTTATGCCCTTTTACGTCGAGCCCTGGTTTAAACCGTCAGTGCAGGTCCCTTCTCTTGCCTCTTGCAAGTGTTCTCTGAAGCACTGGGTCCTCCCGTGCCAACGGCACCTGTGCGGATATGCATTTGAGTTGGGTAAGCAGATTAGATGAAAGACTAAAGGACACCCCTGCCTTAAAATTGAGACAATTGAAGCCAGAGTAATTTTGGTGCTTGAATTATATGACCTGAATTAGGTAAAAGGAGAAGACTAATGCCAAGACACCACTTTTGCCTAAATTATCCAGACGATTGAAACTAGTCTTAAAATAATTTGGAGGCTTGGATTCTGCGACTCATTGGTTCATTTCAATGTCACTTTTTTCTTTCATTCACCATGTTTCCACGAGCCCCTCCCAAGCTGTTTAGACAATGAAGAACTACTAAAGACTCTGCTCTTTAAATTGGATTTTCTTTGTGATCATGTCAAATGACAAATAAATAATATGCACATTAACCAAAAAAAATAGGACATGTTATGTAGAGCAAGATCAGAAAATGAATGACCTTCCAAGTCATTTAAGGAAAATTAAATTTGGACCTCCTCATAGAAGCATAGCACAGACTCCCTGGTTCTTATATTAAAATAATTACGGGTTTATATCTATTATGTCTCCAAATTGAATTTTACCTCAATATGTAACTCTATCTGGCTGTTTTACTTCATTTAAACCCAGGCACACGTTTGTAAAGTACCAGCTACACTATAATGCTAGTGTATATCAGAGACAAAGCAACAGAAAGGACTGTAGGGCAGATAAATCTTGTTCAGGAGCCAGCCTGAGGCTGGAGGAATAAAATAAATGTAACTTTTAATAAAAATAATGAGTTTCTGCACAGCAAAAGTTACCAGCATCAAAATGAAAAGGGAACCCACTCTCTGGGAGAACATATTTGCCAATAATACATCGGAAAAGGGGTTAATATCCAACATATATAGAGTACTCATACAGCTCAACAAAAGGAGGGCAAACAATTCAATTAAAAAATGGGCAGAGGACCTGAATAGACACTTCTCCAAATAGGACATACAAATGGCCAAGAGACATATGAAAAAATGCTGAACATCACTAATCATCAGAGAGATGCAAATTAAAACGACTATGAGGTATCACCTCACACCTGTCAGAATGGCTGCCATCAACAAATCATCAAACAACAAGTGCTGGTGAGGGTGTGGAGAAAAGGGGTCTCTAGTACACTGCTGGTGGGAATGCAGACTGGTGCAGCCACTATGAAAAACAGTATGGTGTTTCCTCAAAAAATTAAAAATGGAGATGCCATTTGACCCAATGATTCTACTTCTAGGAATATATCTTAAGAAGCCTGAAACACCAATCAGAAAGAATATATGCACCTCTATGATCATAGCAGTGCTATTTACAATAGCGAAGATCTGGAAACACCCAAATGTCCACCAGTAGATGAGTGGACAAAAAGGCTGTGGTACATTTACACAATGGAATACTATGCAGCTGTAAGAAAGAAAGATCTCTTATCCTTTGAGAGGACATGGAGGGACCTGGAGAGTATTATGCTAAGCAAAATAAGCCCATCACAAAAAGACAAATATCACATGATCTCACTTTTTTATGGAATATCATGAACAAAATAAGCTGTCGATCAAAATAGATCCAGAGACATAGAAGTAGGAAACAGACTGACAAATCTCAGACAGATGGGGGATGGGGAGGGGTGGGAAGAGATAAACCAAAGAACTTATATAGATATATGCACAACCAATGGACATAAACATCAGTTTGGGGAAAGCAGGAAGGGGAGGTGGGAGCAGGGAGGAGGGATCAATGGGGGAAAATGGGGGGACATCTATAATACTTTCAACAATATATAAATAATGAGTTTTTTGTTTTTTTTTTAATCCTCACCCGAGGACATTTTTTCCATTTTTTGTACAGATAGAGTGGGAGGGAGAGAGAGGAAGAGAGAGAGAAACATCGATGTGAAAGGGACACATCGAGTGGCTGCCACCCGCACGACCAACCAGGGCCAGGGACAAACTGCAACCGAAGTACATGCCCTTAGCGGGAACCGAACCCGGGTGTCTCCGGACCGCAGACCGATGCTCTAACCGCTGAGCAAAACTGGCCAGGGCTAAATAATGAGTTTTAATATATAACTGCTCAGGCACATCTGTACCAGGAGACACATAAATGCTGCCAGATGCTTATACAAAGAATGAAGACAATTGGATTTAAGAGAAGTAAGGATATCAAAAGTCATTCCTTATATGAAGCACAGGAAAAAATGAGAAAGAAACTATATACATAGGTGGACAATAGAACAAAGATGAATATATTCAGTGTGGCATCTTTAAATCAAGCAAAAGATTGTTTATATGTCAAAACGAATTATTATCTAGGCTCAGAAAAGAATAAATAGGTGATCTTTTTGGTCTACATAAGTGTTCAGCAGTAAAGTTTACCCTCTTGCCCTGCCCACTAAATGTCACTTGCACTCCCAGATGTTATGACAACCAAGAACTACCCCTGCACATTTCCAGCCTGTTCCTGGAGGGTGGTACTGTCCCCACTGGGAACACTGAACTAGAACGAAGGTGTGCGCATAGACCACTGCCTTCACCACCAGAGCCTTCCAGGGGGAGCATGGAAAGTGCAAGGAGGTCTCTTCTCATCTCTGCAGCCAGATTTATTTGGCTAACAGTGTTCTTGCACATAAGGCAAAAAGCTGAGTTTAGTTTCATTATTATTCAATTAATTATGTATTCTAATAAAAATAAAAACAATGTTTCAGCTGATGGCAGATGCATGATTTGAGTACTTGAGAGGAAGATACATCCTCTCGCTTTCTTTGTGTTTAAACGATCTTGTTGACAGAAATGGTTTTACTGTGTGGTTTCTAACTTGCTGGGAAACTTTTACCTTTTCCATGAATTACAGCCCAAATGAAAATTGGCTGTGACAACACGGTGGTACGCATGGTCTCCAGTGGAAAAAACATAAATCGTGTGACTTTTGAGTACCGCCAGCTGGAACCATATGAATTGGAAAATCCAAATGGGAACAGTATCCAGGAATTCTGCTTGTCTGGTCTTTGAATAACCAATCCAGTGATCTACATGCTGCTAGCTAAGTGAGTGTTTAATGGCTATTATATGTGATTTCGATGACTACTTAGTTCAAAGCCTTTCATACCTGTCAGTATTCACAGCCTTCAGCACATATTACACACACACACACACACACACACACACACGAGTTTTTGTACCTTGCTTCTTTTTCATTTGTAATATATAAATGATCACATGACCCTCACCTTGGTAGGAAAACCGTTTTCTGTAATTCTATGGTATGTTGCAAACTTGGACTGGTAAGAAAAGTTCAAAGCTATGAACAGTTTTTAAAAATGTATATCAATATTACAAAGAAATAAAAATGGTGGCATTTATATCCGTTTTATAACAGAAAACAATGGAATGTCTGTATATACCAAAGTAGCTGCATCTGTATTTATTTTCTGCTTATTATTCTGTTTATAATAGATAGTAGTTATAGTTATTACTTCCTGATTTGCAACAACTTGTTTTAACCTTTGTAGCAAGGAAAACTTTTTCCATCCATAAGTACAACAGTGAATAAATACATTCGGGATGTTGGCACCTTGATATTATGCTTTGTTTTCTGAGTCGTCTCCTTTTTTATTACCACCAGAAAATGATGTTTTATGTGGTGCAGAACCACATGCTGTACAAAATCATTTCAGACTCTTAGAGGTAGTGGAACCCTGGTCACTGGAGGAGAATTATTTAGAGTAGAAGGTAGATTATAGTGTTTGCACAAAAAACCACTAACCGATGGGTCCTGTCAGGGAAGCAGGATTCAGGGATCCCTTCTCCACTGTCCTCCAAGAAAACTGAGAACAAATGTCTTTGTCACAGTGGTGTACTTTTCAACAAGGACAGCAGGGCCATACAACTCTCATAGACACAATTTTCAGAAATCTGAGTACTTCTTTGATACTGAAGGCAGTTTACTGTTGACCAAGTTTGTCCATGTTGGTCCTGAGACTAAGCATGTGGTCTATAAGACACTTGGGCCCAAAATGAGGTCCTGAGCCATAAAGGAAATACTCCTAAGTGATATCCTTTTTACTTTGAATTAATAGATGGAAGCTATAAACTGTGCCATAGAAAAATAATGGCCTTATGAGTCCTGAACATATTTAATATAAAGTTCATTTTATAATGGAATGTACCGAAATCCCAACACTAGGCTTTTTAACAAAATCTGAAAACCAGGCAGAAAGAAAAATATTGATTGAAAGTGCTAAAAATACTCAAGTCTTAGCACAAATTTTGGCTCAGTAGATATTTTGTAATAAGTGAATACTTTAGCAAATGAATGAATAAATACCTGCATGGGTGGTTGGATGGATGGGTGGATGGATGAATAAAGCTGGATAAAGGTTGGGATGAATAAATAAATGCCTGGATGGATGGATAAATGCTGAGATAAAGCCTGGGGTGAAAGAATCAATGCCTGAGTGGATGGAAACATCATTCCTGATTAGTTATATAAGATTTGTTTCCATGCCCTGGCTGGTTTGGCTTAGCAGTTAGAGCATTGGCCTGCGATCCAGGGAGACCTGAGTTCGGTTCCCACTAGGGACGTGTACCTCAATTGCAGTTTGTCCCTGGCTCTGGTTAGGTTGTGTGGGTGGCAACCACTCGATGTGTCCCTTTCACATCGATGTTTCTCTCTCTCTCTCTTCCTCTCCCTCCCTCCCACTCTATCTGAACAACAACAACAACAAAAAAAATAGAAAAATGTCCTCAGGTGAGGATAAAAAAAAAATTTGTTTTCTTCATAGAAAACAAATTCTATGAAGTTGAACCCTTTTATCTATTTTACAGTCTCACTAGCAACTCAAGAGTCAATGCAGTCACTTATATCACTGGTAGAAGTTTCTGGCTTTAAACCTCACAATCCCTTTATGCTGGATAGAGAAAATGGTCTGAGGTAAAGAGGCCTATTTTCTGTGGGATGTGTTGGTCTTCCTATGACATTAGACTCTCGTCCAGTATCTAAAGCAGGATGTCTTTTTCACCTCCAAACTCTTCCTGGTACTGTTGCTTCATTTCAGAGGCTAGGGAAGAAATGCTATGTGTTCACCAAAAGTCATTTCTTTTACCTCCTGAAAATGCAGTTAAGCTACATTTCAATCTCCGTTACAGTTAGGTTTGGTCATGTGACTAAATTTTGATTGAAGGAATGTGGATAGAAATGATGTCCAACCCTCATGTAATCCTCCATACTTTCTCTTTCTTCCCCTATCTATTGGCAAGTTATTGAGGTTCTAACAGAACACTTCAAGGCTATACAAGAAGACAGAGCCATAGAATACAAGGAGCCTGGATCCCTGAATGACCACATGGAAGGCTGTCTATTGACTAGGAATTGGACTTCATGTGAATGAGCAGTAGACTTTTATTTTGTTAAGCTGCTGAGATGATGATGATGATGATGATGATGATGATGATATTTCACACAATTAAATTCCATTCTCAGCTATTCTCTAATTTCCCTGACTGGGTTCGCTATAACTATCTAGACAGGCTTGATCTGATTGTGTTCTAGAGAAAAATACTCCAAGTGTATATCTTTGATCTCATGAACACCAGGCTTTATCTGGTATCATTGTATCTAACTTTTCCATATTCCTTAAAGAATCTTCTAAGAATAGTGATTCTTAGAGTATATCCCTTTGAAAATTTGACAGCAACTATAGATCACCTTTCAGAAAAAAAAAAAGACCATGAAAAAAGAACACCCCCAAATTTCTGACCATTCATAGATCCCTGAAGCCCACCCAAGGTTTCAAGATCAGAATCTCTACTCAAAGAGTAAATAATCAATACAACTAAGTTTCAGCCCTGACCAGTTTGGCTCAGTGGTCAGAGCGTCGGCCTGTGGTCCAGAGAGACCCGGGTTCGGTTCCCGCTAAGGGCACGTACCTTGGTTGCAGTTTGTCCCCGGCCCTGGTTGGTCGTGTGGGTGGCAGCCTCTCCATGTGTTCCTTTCAGGTCGATGTTTCTCTCTCTCTCTCTTCCTCTCTCTCCCTCCCACTCTATCTGAACAAAAAATGAAAAAATGTCCTTGGGTGAGGATAAAAACAAACAAACAAAGTTTCGGTCTTCTCAAACTTGGCTGCCCTCCCTTCAGTATTGTTAAAAACATTCCCTGGTTAATTTGGCTGTAAAATAAGTCCATAATAACAACTTACTATTTCTGCTTTTATAGTTTATTATTTAATTTTATTTTCCATAATAACAACTTACTATTTCTGCTTTTATAGTTTATTATTTAATTTTATTTTTACTATATGGGTTTTTCTGACCTGCTATGTAGTTTTTGCTCAGGGAGGAAATATATTTGACACAGAACAAATTTTTGTAGCAAAGATTCTTACAGGTCTCTCCTAACTTAAAATTTTCCTTTTTTGCTATTTTAACAGGGAGGTAACATTGCCAGAGTTTGCCTGCAAAATAGAATCTTCATGAAATAAAAATAAAGATTTGATGGACAGGAATTACTTGGAGGCAGTTTGTTTCTGTGCTTAACAACACCTAATAGAGAGTTGTGGCTAGGAACTCCTATTATAGGGTAATCACATAAAATTATATCTGAATACACTCTTATTTGTGCAGTGGAGTATTTCAGAAGAAACACCTTCATATGTTCAAATAAGCAAATTGAATGGCCTCGATTCTAATGTTTTTATCCTCACCCAAGGACATTTTTTCATTTTTTGTTCAGATAGAGTGGGAGGGAGAGAGAGAGAGAGAAACATCGACGTGAAAGGAACACATGGAGAGGCTGCCATTCTAATTACATTTGTAATTACCATCCATTTTTCTCTTTGCACTTGAAAGTTTTTCTTCTTGTGTTAAGACACATTTTACAAGAGAGAAGCAGCAGAGAGGCGAGAGAGGAAATATGGGTAAGGGAAAGAAGGCTTGATCAGATGGTTTGAAAACATTATGAAAATCAAGGTCTCCAATTTGGACCCTGGGCTTTGCTCTTGGCAACAACAGTGTACTCGATCTCTGTGCAGGTGAAAAACGGAACATGAGAAGTGTTCTGTGCTTCCAGGAGAAGAGTGAATGTCAATATTAGGACATACAGCTGGGTGAGTTAGACAGAACCATGATTGTTGTGACTAGATGAGTTACCAGATATTGGGGTTTCCTAGTAAGAAGATGGTCTTCTCACTTCTAGGTTTCTAAAGTGTAAAATAGGTGTTCTATGCTATTAATGGTTCGGACATAGTGAAGTCAGCCAAATATATAAACAAAGTAGATGGCTACCTATATGGTGGGATTTGAGGGACAGCAAAGGACTCACTTAACTGAAAACAGGACCCAAGATTGAACTTTATAATCCTTTTCATTTTGTTCTTTAAAGTGTATTATTAATTAAGCAGGTAATTCATGGGTAATTTATTATTTTAAAAGAGTCAAACCATAAGGGATAATAAGTTAATGAAGTAATTTACAAATCAGTAATTAATTTGACATATAAGGTATTACTAATCATTAAAACGTGACAGAATTGGCAAGTAAGCTTTGAATTAAGAAGAGTATGGTGGGTGAAATTAGGAGTATGAGATGCTGAGAAGACAAACTCAGGTGAACATGCCATTAAGGTGACTGGAAAAGGCAGCAAGGAACTGATGAAACCACTAGCCGGCTGAAAGTTTGTAGAGTTAAACAAAAAGAAAGCTTGTTATGGAGTTGGGATGTAATCAAAGACAAACTTTGTGCAATTCCTTAGTTTTGCTTAGGACCAGCTTGGAATGCAATTTTACCAATGATACAGCTACAGAGACAAGATCTAGTCCTGTGAGTACAGGCATCTCAATGGAGGGAGAGGAAGCCAGACTTCGAAACCTGACACGGAGATGAGTTCTGATTCAACCTCTAATCACCTGTGTGCCCTTGAGCAAGTCACCCCATCTCTCTGAGCATCAGCTTCCTCACATGTAAAATGTCAACAGGAAGCACCTACCTCTTTGGTGTGATAGCTCCTTGAAGTGCCAAGCACCATTCTTAGCATGTGACAGACACTATAAGTAAGAGTGTCCTTTTGGGGGAAAAGTTGTTTATCAGTCCAGGCTCTGGTGATATAATTTCATCCTTAAATTCTGTATAGAAGGGTGTGAGTTAAAGGAAATAAGAAGTGGCTCTTTGATGAGAATTTATTTGGTTAAGATAAAATCGTTTATTGTTATTGCAACATCAAATTGTTATATATATATTTTTTCTTAGAATAGTCTTAGTGCCACAGTATTTACTCATCAATTCATTAAAATGGGGTGGTCCATTCGCAAGGCTCATAAAATGGTAGCTCCACCTTGCCATGTGAAAGCCCATCTTCCCCTCATCATGTTTGGGCTTATTAATAGGAGCCTCTACAGTTCTTCCTTCTCTGGCCTTTCTGGTGAAAAACAACTTGCTTATGTTGAGTACCCCTTAAAGAACACTGAGATGCCAACCCCTGGGTAAAGGTAGGAAGGGGTGAGGCTGGTGTAACTTTCTATAAAGCTAAAGGAATAAAACAAAACAAACCAAAAAACCTATCTCTGAGATGGACA